CCACTGCTTTTTGGAATACCCCCAGGGGTAATGTATCCTCGTTCCGCCCCACCACCAATTAAAATAACCGCCCGTCGCAATGTCGTCTAGCCAGGGCCGCAACAGCTCCTGGTACTTGTCGGGGTTTCCGGTGACGTAGTATAGGTCGCCCATCGGGCCCCGGATTGGGCCCCTTGGGAAGGACGCGGAAATGTCGTTGAGGAGTTCGATTGGGTAAAGCGGGCGGCCGCCATCCTTAACGAGTTGGTCGTATGCGTCCGCCTCCTCCATTCTCCCCAACTGTAGACCACATTCTGCGAGCTCTACTCCCCCTAGGGTCGGTGATCGTGATCGAGATGGTAGTGGTTGAGATGCTCGTGGTAGGGCGTTGGGGCCGCCGGATAATGCTTTTTGGAGGCGGGCGTCGAGATCGTCGAGATCAAGCGGTCGGGAATACCGGTTTTCGGCCAGGGCATGTCTTCAGAAACCGCCCCAAGATCCATTAGCGAACAAAAAACAATTGCAGACAGCAGAGGGGAAAGGGAAGCCTACATGAGCCTTTCTGCGAGCTGTTCACGCTCGCACAGTGGAAGCTGGTGTCGACGGTGGTCCAGAAGGTCGAAGTCGCCAGTGGGGCCAAGGTGTTTCCGGATATACGCAGCCAGGTTCGCAGCGCCCATCCAGAGGATATCGTGTACAGACACCCTTGACGTGCCCGGCTCGGGGGTGTTGGCCATTATGTCGTCGATGGCAAGGGAGGAGACAATTGATGCAGGCTTAAGACAAAAAGTTGAAGCCAATTTACAGGCAGAGGAAAGGCAAGCCTGAGCCTGCCGGGCCTGAGCATGTGACCAGTAGTGGGTCCAAAACATCAGATTTCCCCTTGAGGCGTGCCAATCAAATTGGGCGGATAGCCGCTGTTGCCCCTCCAAGAAGGGGAGAGGTTGGCTGCACATCGCACTAACATCGCTGTACCAATACATCCAATGTTTCAGCGCGTGGTTGTTGTTAGTGTGTTGTGATCGTTGTACTGCGCCGCAAGATGGTCGCGATTGGTGTTGCCTGGCGGTTTATAGGTGGAGGTTGGTCCGGCAGCAAGCCGTGCCAGGTGCTTTTTGTTTAACCTGCCATCTTGTTTTCGTTCTTTCTCGTCAGACTCTTATCTTATTTCCGCTCTTCTCGTCAAACACGCAAATTTGGCCATGGCAGACACGGATCTCATTGCTCGTGTGTACCCCTATGCAGAGAAGCGCCGTACAGAAGTGCCGGAAGCCACCCTGGAGGCATTCAAGACCAGCCCGGGCTGTTTTGATCCACTGGGTCAGCTTTCCGAGCGGCGGTCCGCATCTCGTCGTGAGCGAGAGTCAACAGAGCCACTCGACACCCAAAACGGTCCGGTGCTCGACACCCTTCCATACGTCGAGCTGAGGCTCAGCGATACTCCACGGTTTCGCTCTGGGTTCCTTTTCGGCTGGGGCCAAAATAACGACGTCGTTCTGCCCCAAATCCGGGGCGTCGGGCGGCACCACTTTACCCTGACTTTCGACGGTGAGAAACGACCCATCGTGAAAGATTGGGGTTCTCTCAACGGTACCCAAGTCACCTACGGCAGTCAAGGACACGGGGCGCGATCCGGGTTCCAATGGATCGTCGGCGGGCACAAGATTCCTTTCAAGAAGCAGCCCATCGTTGTCACCGCACTTGCCCGTGCCCTAGTCCGGCTGCAGATCGTCGTCGTCCCCCACAACGTAGCGTCGCTGGCTTACATCGACAAAGTCGACCGGCTCCTTCAGAGCACCGCAGCAGCCACTGAAGATCTGCTCAGTGGCCTCAACATTGCGAACCGCTCAGATACTCAGCGGCCTACAGGAGCCCCCAAATTGGAGACAGGGCCAATCCATATCCGTAAGCGGCTCGGGGAGGGGTCGTTCGCGAGTGTAGCCCACTATTGGGACGTCAGCACCGGAGAGGAGTATGCCCTCAAGAAGCCTTCTGCAGAAGCCGTTCGCGCGCGCCGAGTCCGTATTAACGCTTGGAGGAATGAGGCGCACATTATGAACCTCATTCGGCATGTTAGTACATCGCCATCCCCGTCAATATCTCAAAATCCTACTCTTTACTCTAACCTAAGATACACCTACAGCCTCACGTCGTGAAGCTTCTCAAGTCCGACTTTACGCAGGGCCCACGACTATACCTGGAATACGTTCCCCGCGGATCTTTGGCCAATCAATGCGACATCTCAGCTGCCGAATGTGTATCAATTCTTCAGCAGTGTCTATCGGCTCTGGAGTACCTGCACGGGAGCGACCCGCCGATTGTGCATCGGGATATCAAAGCAGACAACATCCTGGTCCAATACCGGGACACAAACAGCATCTACGTCAAGTTCGCTGATTTCGGGCTGGCGAAGGACTATGACAACATGTCCACCATCTGCGGCAACTTCGGGAACCTTGCACCTGAGGTGTACCAGAACCACCAATATATCGAGGCTGGTGGCAAGGGCAGAGTCAGCTATACCGAGGCCGTCGACGTTTGGTCCCTTGGTGTCATGGTGTACAAATTTCTCTGCCCTCTTCCACAGTTCGAAAACCAATACATATCAAGGGGGACGGCATGGGCCAAGAAGCTCATCAAGATGTTCAAGAAGGACTTCGAGGAACGGCCTGATGAGCTGAGAAGATTTCTTCTGGAAGCAATGGTGGTCTTACGGCCGGAGCAGCGGTGGTCGGCCGGAGACTGCCTCGCAAGAGCAATGCTTCTACCTGTTCCAGCCATGGACCAGTCCGAGACCGCAGTGGCGGTTTCGTACGTCAGCGATGATGAGCGGTCGACAATTCGCTACAAAGCAGAGCCAAACATGGCCCAGGGCCTCGAGATACCTATGTGGCAGCCTGGCTCGTCCGAGAACTCGACCCTGTCGACCGATGCTGGCAGGTACGACAGATCAGGCGCACCCACCCCTCGGGCTTCAGTTCCAGCATCAGCGTCTAGCCGGAAGAGAGCAACGGTGTCAAGGCCTTCATCGTCCGGAAGACACAGGAAGCGCCGGGAGCACGGCAGCAGTAGCAGCAAGGCCGACGCTGGCTCCCGCCAGCAGCGAGACCGCGTCCTTAACAATCGCACACAGGATTCGCTGCCTCCCGTTGCATTCGAGGACAACGACGAAGATGAGGACGATTGGGACCGGGAAGAAGATGACAATGCCCGTGTCGAATTGCCTCATGCAGTCGACCATCTTTCAACCTCGCATGTCGGCCAGGAGGTTGAAAGTCACATGCAGACTTTCCTCCAACATCAGGTCGGCAACGGAGGGGCCGATCAAGAAGCAGTCGATGCAGCGGTAATGTTTCAGAGATTAAACCAACATGGAATTATGACTCCTTTCGAGTCAATGGCCAGAACTAGTGGGGAGGCGGCTGCGTCAACCATTGCCAGCAGCTACGGTGAGCGAGATGCGCAGGGTGACGGACTAAGCCACTTCCCCGGCAACTACATACTTGCGCCACCTAGGCAAGATGGTGGTGGGGGACAAAACAACAGCGCCGGCGTCGACCGTCCCTGCGGTGATGACCCTACCGGACCCGCAAGCCAAGTCGATTCCCAGCCTAGTGGGCTTTTCAGCTCTGGAGATCCACTCAACCCTCTGCTCGTTGGCTCTTCTGTTGCCGCATGGGGTGGAGCTGGAGAAGAATCGACTGCCGGAACTGCTCCCTCGCATGCCTCCGTGGTGGAGGAGGATGATGATCTTCCGCCGCCATGGAGCCCAGCCCACCCCTTGTCGTTGTATGCGGCTGATACACAGTACCTACGGTCCCCTCGCCACAGCCAGCGCCTTGAGCTCCAGCTGGCAACACATTCTTCAGTCGTCGTGGCCCATCCACACTTCCCCCCCTCCTTGGCTGAGGGGGAGGTGGAGGAAAACGGCGACCGGCTAACAGGACACTTCACAGAGCCAGCTCCTTACGTCGGACATCCCTATTCCGCATATGGGCTGGGCGACAACGACCAGCTGCTGGATGATGACTGGGACGAGGGCACCGCCGAAGGGCACGAAGAGGCAGATGGTGGCGTCGACGATTACACACCACCTGAACCCCCCAGTGCGGGCGCCGCAGCAAGCCCTGGGCCCCAACTTCCTAAAGGATACCGGGCGTTCCATGTCGAGGGCAGCTCGCATGCCGTAGTATACAGACCGGTGGAGCGAAAAGTCAACGCTTTGCAACTCGTCGGCATACGCAAAATCTCACGGAATTCGCTCAAAATGTGCTTTGCCCGGCATCCCGAGATACGGACCGAAAGGCACCGCCGACCACAAGTCGCGGGGCTCTCGGGGCCCTACGTGGACTTTGACGATGCCCGGATCATCTGCAAGAGCTTCCATATGCCCACGGCGGTGATCGATGAGTTAGAGACAGCGGCTGCTGCTACTGTTGCCGTTACTGGTGGCGATGGCGGATACGCTCTGCAAACCGAGGGAGAGGCGGAAGCCGGCCCGGCTCAAGCTGTCCAACGCAGGAAACGAACCTCATATAGCGCTGCCCATAAAGCCATTCTTGAAGCCGCGTTCCGCAACAATCCGAAGCCCGAAACCCGGAAATACTGCGAGCTTGCGACGCAGCTTTCAACGGAGATGCGGCAGGTCCAGGTAAGGAGGGCTGATTT